GCTTGGTGAAGACTTTTCGTGACAAAAGAACTTCATTTATCAGTTCTTGCAGATCTTTACAGTAAACTACAAGTTTCTTGCCAATAACTCCATTGCCTTGTTCAGGTAGAATATCTGTTTGATCAAAAAATCCGGCAAGTCAGTTTCATAATGCAAAAAATTCGGAGCGAACGTTTGGCTCAGTAATTCCGACTGCTGAAACTTGGTTCAAAGTTGTCGCTAACTTTTTCGGTTTGTGTTTGACAATCCAGTATTGATTCGCACGTGAACGAGATCCCCTGCAGTAACTAAGGATGTTGATCCAAAGAGTCTCCTTGCACTTGAAGGTCCTTTAAGTAATTATTTTGGCAATTTTATTTAAATTTTACAAGTTGTCACTATTAAAGTAAATAACTTTTCTCAAGAATTAACCACATTTTTGGCATTGGAAACTAATAGAATTGAATACATTTAATTATGCTACAATAAAGTCATTTTTACCTAGGGTGACAAATAAAGGTCGTCCACCTTTTGCTTGAGCCAGACGAATTGTTCCTTGAGGGAAAGCATCTGTGCCAGGTATTGCAGAAGCTGCAATTTGTTAAGCAACTGTGCTGTCATTTGATGCCAAAAGTCTCATATTTTCACGAAACTTAGCTTTAGTGGATACATGAGAAATTCTTTTCCCCAGAACCGAAAGGCATTTGTTACGTCTGTGGTCATAGGTTGAATTTTTATTCACAGCTTTCTCTTTACATGTTGTCATTTTTCTAACTTTTTCAAGAGGATGGGATTCAATTAGCTTCAGATGCCCAACTTGACATATAACGCAATCACAGATCAGTCCGCTTGCAGGTCGCCTGACACTGATGGTTTCAAAGTCATAGAGTCTTAGCATGACAACCTCTTTTCCATCAAGTTTTCTGCGCAGTATTGAACAACATCCTTCACAAATCCCATTTGGCGTTCGTTCATCTTCAAAGTTAGTCTTTTGTTCAAATAAGCTTGAAATTTCCTGTACCACTGATAGTGAAATTGTCCTTATGCTTTTTTTCAAGCACAAGAAACACACAAATTTCCGGCAATCTTTGTGAGCTTTAGTTTGATTGGGCATTTTGAAAGACCAAATGATTCCAAAATCTTAAAAATGAGTGGCTTTTTGTTTTGATGTATTGAGAACAGTCCTTTCCCGTAATTTTAACACCAATAGTAAAAAAAAATCATATTATGTAAGAGATACAAGTATGCTCTTTTTGCAAAGTCATAAAAACAAAAAAAAACAATGTTTTAGTGATGCAATAATAAAATTATCATTCACTTAAATTTTTTTGTATACTGTAAAAATGCAAAAAATAGTTTTGCTGTCATTTGTCTAGTTGCTGTAATATAATATTAAGAAAAACTTATTCTATTTTCCGAGATGAAATAGTTGGATTTCAAATTTTATATTTTTGAAATTCTGACATCAAGGGCTTTCATATGCACCCAGCCATTTCTCTGGGTCTGCTATATACAGTTATCATGAATTCTGGCTGGGGGTGTAATCTTTTTATAGACAATGTCATTCTAAAAAGAGAAAAAGTGACAAAATTTTTAGGAGTTTTTATTGAAGAAAATCTGTCTTAGAAGTCACACATCGATAATATTTCTAATAAAGTTGCAAAAAACATTGGAATTCTATACAAATCTAGAGGTATTTTAAACAAAAAGCAATTAACACAATTATATTACTCTTTTATTCACTGTCATATCAATTATGCAAGTATTATATGGGGAAGTAAACATAAAACTAAACTTAAATCACTTTATCGGCATCAGAAACACGCAGCTCGCATAATGAATTTTAAAAACTGTTTTTCAAACTCTGAACCGCTTTTTAAAGAAATGGACGTTTTAAATGTTTGTCAACTAAATGTATTTAATGTTTTGTATTTTATGTATAAATGTTATGACTTTATGTCCCCCGATGTATTTGTAAACCTTTACAAAAGTAAACCCCAAATTAAATATAACCTCCGTAATAATAGCTTTTTAGAAAAACCTTTTTGCAATAATAAACAACCTCAATTTTGCATATCTTATCGTGGACCTTTTCTCTGAAATGAAATAGTACGGCCTAATTTTATTTTTTTATCTAAATTGACCTATTTCTTTTTCAAACAATCTATTAAAAAAACCATTTTTTCAACAAAAAATATTTTTGATTTTTTTTGACTTAAAAAAAAAAAATTTCACAAAATTTCGCTATACTGCATTATGATTAGTTATGTTTTATTTTGAGTTTCGCTTCTGAAGTATGTAGTGTCAAAATTATGATCTATTTATTGATTATATATTCTCGGTATATATCTATTGTATATAGATAGATATAATAGATAGATGTTTTTATTGTAGAAAAAAATAGAACTTTGTTTAGGGCTTTGTGATAAGATTATTACAATCTTCTTGAAGTCCTGTCCGTATAATATTATAAATCTTGATGTAAATAATATTAAACGGCAAATAAAAAAAAATTAATAAACAAATATTTGTCAGTATCAAACAAATGAAAAACAATAACATTTCTGAAAAGGACCCTAGTCATAGATTTTTTCTTGACTTTAGTTTACGGACTTAAATTAAATATTTTTCGTTTTTTGTTAAATATTAGTCAATATTGGTTCTCAAATTTTTTAAAACACTATCTTTTAAGACAAAATTAACATTTTTTTTGAATTTCTGCACTATAACTTAACTTTTTTCTAAAAGTTATATGCAGTTGCGGATGCAGAATTTTTAATGTTTGAGATACTTAACTTCCAGACATTGAGCAAACTCCAATAATTTATATGTTTATACTTATATCAAATAAGGATGCTTTGCAAAAAAATGCAATAATTGGAGCCTGGGAACAAAAAAGCCCTGAAATTTTTGCTACACCGGCCCCAAACGTAAGAGCAGCAAGTTGATAAAATAATTTTTATACTATTCTTAACTAATTTATATTTATAGACAAATTTTAAAATTCATACAAAAATCTTTTAGCGTTCAAAAACTATGACAATAAAAAGTTTGAACCCCCCTTAATGTGAGGGGGTTTCAAAATTTTATAAGGCCATGATTGTTGAATGCTAAGAGATTATTGCGTGAGTTTTAAAATTTATCGATGAATATATACTTGGTTAAGTATAGTAGAAAAAATATTTTATCAACTTGTTGTTCTCACGTTTGGCGCAAGTGTAGCTAAAATTTTAGGGTTTTTTTGTTCCCCGGCTCCAATCATTGCAGTTTTTTGCAAAGCATCCTTATTTGATATAAGTATAAACATATAAAATTTTGGAGTTTGTTCCATGACTGGAAGTATGGAATCTCAAACATTAAAAAATGCTGCATCCTCGCCTGATATGGCTTATTTATATTTTGGAATACCCAAACTTTTTGTTTAATTTTGTTTAACAGTAGTTATCAGCAATATAATATTTTTTGTCTATTTAATGGCACTGTCTTTTTAAAGGCCACTACTTAAAGATTACCACAACTAAAACCGTTAACAGATTTACCACAACTAAAGTTTTGATTTATCACTAAAAGAACTAAAACCGTTAAACACGTTTAATGCCGTATATTTTTACAGCACGTGGTTGCAGTTTGTAAAACTCATGCGTTGAAAAATACAAAACTTGATCAAAATTGCGTTTATGTTTTTTATTTATTATATTTTTGAAAAATCTTTTCTTAAGACTTCATTATATGTTTTATAATTTGTATCTTTTTTATTAATGTGATCCAATCTTAGAAGTGGACTAAATTTATTTATCTAATTAACAAGTAAAATAGTAATTAAAAAAAATATTTTTACCTATATTTTTTTAAATTACTATATTAATGTTAATATAATAATTATAGGTACAGATTACTAATTAAGATTTACCAAATTTATCATTACATAATTTATATCATTTATATCATTTTATCAACGTATCATTTATCAAATTTATCTACCCGATTAATAAGTGGAAATTATTAATAAAATAGTTTAGAAAAAAAATGGATTCAGACTATTAATCAACACTTACCAAATTTATCACAACTATTATTTGTATCATCATTTATAAAATTTATATACACGAATAATAAGTTATTTACAACATAAAATTGGATACAATTCATGATTTTATTAAGTTTAATTATCATAAAGTTATCAAAACTGTTTTGATAAACTTTTTAAATTAACTTTTAACAATTAATAAGTAATTTGTAAAAGACAAAAATGGATACAATTCATGATTTTATTAAAGTTAATTATTGTAAAGTTATCATAAATTATTTTATTAACTTTCTTTATCAACTAAGTTATAAATTTGTTAGTAAAAATGAATTAAATCTAAATTCACGTTTTATAAGTTTTATAACTCAAAGAATATAGCTTTAGTGATTATTCTAAAATGTAATAGGTCACATTAGGGGAGTAAACTATAAACCTAAATATATATAGTATATACAATATATACTGTGTGTATACTTTTCACTTTTGTACAAGAGTATTGATTGATCTAAGTTTTGTTTTTAAAAGGACATTTATTATTCTGTGCATGCATTTATTTTTTGTTTTGCATTGAGCAAACAGTTTTTGAAGGTAAATATGTTTTACAAATATTTAAAGGATTCACCATAAAATTTGCATTTTGATGATAATGACAAATACAAGCCAAATGAACTCACTGCATGTTGTCCTATTTGGTCAGCCTACGTATTGAGGCCACAGCTGTCCATTTTAGTATGGTATCATCAGTGTCTACCTGATGCTAACTTATTCTTCTGACAGATTTAACTATTGTTCAAGAACTTTAAGATAATGATCATAATTTAGATTAGTTTTTTTTTTAAATAACAGCATTTTTTTATTTTAAAACTAAGTAATACAATACCCATTTTAAAAATGTTGCTTGAACTAACAAAGTAAATAAAATTGATCTTGATTAGCATTTGGTGTATGTAAATCATTTTATACGTAATAGCAATTATAATTACTTGTTTATGGTTTTATGATAATAATTTATTTGTTTTTTATAGGTAGCTCAATAAAAAATGGATAAAAAAATAGATGATGAGGAAATAACTAGTGATGAAGATGATGATGAGGTTTGTAATGTTGCTTTTGCTGCTGAATGTAACATTTTTTTACAGTTTTTTTTTATATATAATGATACAACAAATGCATCTATTAAACCAAGAGTTATTATATTTTGTTTGTGAATAAAATGTTCTTTATGTTTTTAGTTAATTACTTGCAAAATAATCAAAAAAATAAAAACCTTTTAATTTAGAAAGTTTTTTTCAAAAAATTGCATAAATTTCTAATTTTTTTCTTAAACTAGTTATTTTTATATAATCTTACTTAAAAAGTTTTTATTTTGTTTCTTCTTTTAATAACTATAACTTTTATTAAATTAAAGAGTGTTAAAATTTTTGATGACCTTTTTTTAAAAGAATATTTTTTTCATCAAAAATCAGATAACCAAAATAATGAATTTAAAAATTATTATTTCTTAAACACCAACCACAGTTCTGTAATATTTTATAACTGGCACGACATTCAGAAAATATTTAGAAAATTAAAATAGAAAACTAAAAGAGGTTTTTGACTCTAATGGCACTTTAGAAAATTTTATTGATAAGTTTCATGTTTTAATAACTTCAAAATGTGAATTAAAATAGATCAAAAAACTATTTTTCAATTACAAAAAAGTTTGCCTCCTAACAAAAGTCGCTAAAGCTTCTAATTGTTTTTTCATCAAAGTGTATTTTGTGCACAGTTGTACGTATGTCTATTTGAAATTTAAACTTAAGTGAAGCTTCAAAGACATTCATGATCTGATGTGCACTTGGTAACTTCAAGTAATTATTTACAGTCAAGTTGTCTCTGTTTGGTTTTTGGTTATCAATTATTTCTTCAATATCATTACAATAAGAAACAACCAAGTAGGTGGAGTAGTTAGATAGCGAAGCAATTCTTGATGCCTTTAGAAACTTTTTTACATGCTGAAAAACAAGTATGTTTTTACAATGTTTTTAGCACATTTGCTAATAGTATAGTCCTATGAATAATATAAAATGCGCAACATGTAACACTTTATGGCTAGGCCTAATATACAGGATGCCTCTTTGTTTTTCTGGTCGTAAAAGCACATATTTGTTCCTGAAGCACATATATTGTTAATAGAAAAAAATTTTTGGTTGAGTTATAATTTAGAATTTACAATTTTGTTTTTTCAAACGGAAAAAATAATATAAAAAATAAAAAAATAAAATTGTTTTTCATCATATTTAAAGTCATAAAAATGTTTTGAAAAAGGTTTTCACTCCTACCGTGATAAACTCACAAAGTTTTTTATAATATGCTAGATAACTTAAAAGGTTTTGGAAATAAACTTTTGCAACCTCAAATGTAATACTTTAAAGCTTTGTTTAAGTTTGTTCTCTCTCTGAAATTTGAATCACTTTTGCACTAATTTTAATCAAACTTTCAAAACACAATTTTCTGTTATTATATGTGTTTGGCACATATATTGTTGGCACTTAATGTATATCATAAATTTCTTTGTTGACAATTGTCGTTGTGTCTAATTTATAACACCCACAGTTTTTAAATAAAACAAAGTACATTTGCAATATTTCATCAATATTTCATCAATTCACCACCCACGCGTGCACACTTTTTTGCTTAGATTTTTGAGGGAAAATTTCACTTTGAGTTTGTAACTAAAATAAAACACAATGGTCTATGTAATAAAGTAAAAAATGGAACACTAAACATTATTACGAATCAAAATTTAAAATTAATGGATTTTAATTATTTTATTATGTATTTTTGAGGTCTTTTTATCTTATTGTCAACATTTATTTGCTGTTCGATTTTAGACTCAACAACAAGGGGCAAGTTATTTCAAATTTATCAATTTGCAAAAAAAAGAAAAAAAAATTACTCCAACAAAAATAGCAAAGTTAATTTAGACTCTCATAACTAACATGTTTTAAATATTATTTGTGTAAGACAGATGATAATCCAGGTAATAAAAATACAGGATCAAAATGTTCCATTTGTTTGAAATATACTTACTGTAATAAGCAGTATAAAATTAAAACAAATTTAAATAAAATGTAAAAATAATCATAAATAAACAGCAAAAAATGATCTAATTGTTTATAGTTTTAATGAAAGTAATAACTTAAATAAAATAAAAAAAATAATAATTTAAAGAAAATAATAAAATAAAATTTTAAAAAATATAGTTTTAAAAAGTTTTTTTTTATAGTTATTTGCAAATTTTACACAGCGTAAAAATTTTTAAACAAGTAAAAGTGGTAGTGTTATTTTCAATTAGCAAGTTTTGAGATTTTGAGATAGTAAAAAGATTGACAGTTTGTGATGTTGAATTTTCTAGATGCAATTATTAAATATTTATTAAATATTATTGTGTTTTTTTCAAAATTTGGGTTCAACTTTTGAACCTTATTAAACCTAGCTCTACCGCTTGCACATATTTACAGCTTCAATGAACTACCTGTTCAGTGAAAATCAGCCAATATTAGTTTCCAATTTAAAAAAGGTAAAAGGTAAAACAATATTTTAAAGACAAAAGTAAACTTTTGTTGTTGAAATATTGTCTGATTTTACTTGAGTTTCGGTAACTTTTAACAAAAAAGCGATTGTTATAGTTTAAGTAATTTTTTTCAAGTGACATTTTACAAAAATTTTACTAGCTGTACTTTTTTTTATTGAATCAAGTAGAATACGTTTTAATATTATTCCTTTTATTTTTTTTTATTTGCGCTTACCAATTTTAAAAATGTTTCCTCGAAATTACTCTTAAATACTTTAAATACCTCTAACAGTTAATAAATATTTTTAAATCTATAGAATAATTTAAAACCTAACAAACCCCCATAAAATAATTATTTAAGTTAAATATCTAAGACTAAAAGAAAGTATTTTTGTTCAATTTTATCGACAACTTTGCTGTTGCTGAATAATTTTATTAAAATGTTACCTTAAAAAGATTTAAACTTTTTTTTTAATCTGAATTTTTTCTACTTGTAAATAATGAGCATATTTAATTTTTTTGTAAATCAAACTTTTGTATCAACTGCGTGCGGTTTTTAAAATACTTTATTAAATGTTAAAGTAATTGTAAATTACTTCATTAAAATTCCGCTCAAAAATATCTTTAAATATACTCAAACAAAAATTTTTTTGCTCGACGCAAATAGCCTTAGCTACACGCAAAATCGTTCTTGGACGACGTAAAATTCACATCGCCTGACACTATCGCAAGGCCTGCAGTGGACATCTAATGGTGGTTTGTCAGCTGTGCTAAACTCTGTCTGGACATTCTCTTCAATGCTTGATCAACGTTGAGATCATTTTTGACATATTGTTGAGTGTGACAGTGATCCCTCATCAAGATCTTGACCATCAGCTTTTGCTATTGCTGCTACTAAAATTGCAAACTTTCTATCTGATAAATTAATGTATGATTCAAACTGAGGAATTTGAAAGCTGCAATGGCTAAAAAATTCCATCTTAAGTGAGTGATTTTGATATTATCTTTATTAGAAGCATTCAGCACTAGAATATTTACTAAAAAACAAGATTTTATACCTTTTAGTAATTTAAGATAATATGTTGCACTTTCATGAAAAATGCTAATTTTTGTTTAAAAAAAAGAGACAGTATTTAAATAAGCAGACATATTGTGGTAGTCTGGTGCCAAGATTTCTAACCTGTTATATTTATATACAGTTGACTAAAACAGAATTATTTCAAGAAAAAAATATTTTTCAGGTTTTATTAAATTTTAAATTTGTAATAAAATTTTTGGAAGCATTGAGCAACCCTAATTTTTACTTGATTGTAAAGATCTTTTACATAGTTAATCACAATGTCATTTGGCGCAATATAAACAACTATGCTCTGGGAGCTTGTTTTAGGTATGTTGAGGAATCTGTTTTTAGATTTATGTCACCATATAGGAAATTTTTTGACTGAAAGCCGATATAAAAAAGCTAAATTATTAAAAATTATAGCTTTCCAAAGACTAAACATACAAATAGTTATATCAATAGTATTTGAAAAATATCCTAATTTATTATTGCTAAATTATTTTATTGAGGTTAATTAACAACTTTTTAATAACTTTTAAAATGCTCATAAAAATAAATTTAAAAGAAATATTAAATACAGGTATAGTGCCCTTAAAAAGACAAAAAAACTATATTGCTGATAACTATTGTTAACTAAAATAAAAAAAAAGTTTGGATATAAACAAGCCATATAACTTTTAGAAATAGATTATAGTGCATAAGTTCAAATTTTTTTCTAATTTTGTCTCAGAAGATAGTATTTAAAAAAATTAGAGAAGCAAAGTTCACTAATATTTAATATAAAACAATAAATATTTAATTTAACCCTGTAAATCAAAATCTAGAAAGAAGCTATGAGTATTTCCTTATCAATAAAGTAATTGTTTTTCACTTGTTTGATACAAACATATAGTTTTGCTTAAAAAGCACTTTAAAAATGTTGATATTTTGTCTTTTAAAAGCACCATTTATTTTTAACTTTTTTGCCTTTTTTTTTTTTTTCTTCTTCTAAAAGAAAAAAACTCCAAAATAACAAATTAAACTTAAATTAAAATTAAAATTATTGTTCTAATACAGTTAAAAATCTTTTATAGTGTCTTTTTCATTGTCAGACTTTCTAAATAACTTCTTTGCAGCTAGGTTTCCAATCAGTTTTAACTGATAACCTAAAACTGTGACTTTTAGTCAAAACCAAATTAAATGGAAACTGTCAGTTTTCAAAAACAGTTTTGCAGGCCTTGCGATAAAGCGTCGGGCGATGTGAATTTTATGTCGTCCAAGAGCGATTTTGCGTGTAGCTAAGGCTATTTGCGTCGAGCAAAAAATTTTTGTTTGAGTATATTTAAAGATATTTTTGAGCGGAATTTTAATGAAGTAATTTATGATTATTTTAACATTTAATAAAGTATTTTGAAAACCGCACGCAGTTGAAATAAAAGTTTGAATTTAAAAAAATTAAATATGCTCATTATTTACAAGTAGAAAAAATTCAAAAATTA